GTCTCCAACGCTATGCGCATTGTATTGCTGGAAGTGAGAATGTAGGACTCCCCCTCATGCATTATGTATGCCAATAAATTCGCTTAACTTTACGACAATTTGTAGCTGCAAACCCTGCCATAAAATTCACTCGCTTTAAACTCAGATTAGGAGAAGAGGCTCAAATAGGGAGAATGTTTGGGGAAGGCCGACCCCTCCACTTCAAGCCATAATTTGATTTAGTCCCGGGTCCAGGAACGAGCACAAATTGGATTCGCCCCTAAGTATCTTTGATGTGGCTGCATACATTTCAGTGATTATCCCTGAATTTGATTAGACCTCCTCATCTCTAACTCCTCTCTACCTCTTCGATTGTTATTGTTACGGGATGCTCCTCAATTAGAACGCAGTTTTGTGCACCGCAACTGCACTCGAAGCACCTCAAAACTCAAATTGCAAACCAGCAGAGGAGCCCCAGTGGAAGTTGGGCGGATTCACTCTTCAAAGGCCGCCAGCATTTTGAATTGCAAATCCTGTTGGGGAATGGGGAGGCTCCTCTTTTGAGTACACAGACCAGGTGGAGGGGTCTCCTCAATTATGTTGCTCTCGCTGGACCCCAAAACTGACTGAATGACTGACTGACAGACAGGCGGACGAACATAGAGATGGATACAACTGACAGAGGAAGGAGATGGATGGAAGCGTCTTAGGCAGGAAACTGTCTTTGAGAAAATGTTGCCTGGTTGAAAGAAAACGTTGAAATGTCTATCTTTCTGCGGAAGAGCAGCGGCTTTCTCTGCTCAGAAAATAAATTAAAAGTATCAAGTATTTTGTACACTGAACAGAATTAAGCTCAGATTACTTATGTTCTTAATATTTTAAAATAAATATACAGTCAAAAAATTTATATTATATGTAATTTATACAGTCATAAAATGTATATTTATACGCTTTACGATTGTATATTTATAACTTGTAGCTAAAGTAACAATAAACTTATAAAAACTACTTATGTTTAGGGAGGTAGAAATGTCTTGAAACTGTTGTCTTGAAATTCCATAAATCATATATGTGGCCTGGTTCTAATCGTTTAAGAATTAATTTATTAACTGTACGAGATCGGTCTCAATTTGTAGCTTATAAAAAACCTATTTTATAAGGAACAGAAAAAATTTATATTTTATTGAATTGCTTTTAAATATCAGTCATGTTACAGCTAAGGATAATTCGTTTCTACCCCTAAAATATTTTGAATATCGATCCATAAATTATCTTTAATATTTGAAGATTTCTTGGAAATGTTTTTTGCCGTATACTAGAAAAAGCCTGCCTTCTTGGAGTCTCTTTTAACTGCCATTTGTCGTTTGTCAGGCCCCTCGACGAGAGGAAAAAGGGATGAGGATGCGGCTCTTTCTGCCAGCAATTTGACTTGTAACCGCACTCTTGAGTGTTGCATGCTTTTAGGCGCAACGTGAGGCAAGTTTGTTGAACCTGACAGGAGTTCTTCATGTTCTTTTCCTTTTGCCTTTCTTGGCCTGGGTCAAGCAACTGCCACTGCCATGAATAATTCAGCATTGAAATTCTTTCCCTGCTCCTGTCTTGCTTACTTACATTTTTTAGGGCGTGGCACAGCTGCCAAGTTAATTACATTTGCAGCTACGTGCTGCTGGCGATGATTGCATTTCCGAGCAGCTGCATCCGCTTTGTTGCCTCAATTCAAATGTGGTCACAAGGGGGTGGTGGCATGCGGTGTGGAGCCAACTTCCATATGAACATTTATTTGATTGCAATGTTTACAATGCATGTGGCAAGGTTAAGAGGTCGTTGCATGGGAGTGCGGTTTCTCAATCAATCAGTGTCACAACATGAGCTTGATTAAATGGAAAATATTATTTCCGTCAGTGTAAATACCAATGAGCGTGCCCAATCACAGGCCTATTAATTTTGATTTTAATTGCATTCCCACCAATCGAAGAACGAAGTTGACAGTAAAATGTGGTGGTTCAGGTGGTTTTACATGCATGGCCAGGCATATTGATTCTGTATTTTAGCCTCTAATGAGATGCCTTTGGCTGCGTTAAGAGAATTTAAACCTCAATAACGAAGCTTTACAATCGAAATACTGTTGGAATTGACAATCGGGTTTTGTTTCCTAAATATAACAAAAACCTTTGTGTTTTTCTTTTGGTTTAAAAGTTGGTCTGGCGTTCACTGAACAGATTCCGTAGCAATCAGCTTAGGCAACAATTATGTGCAGCTCATCGCACAGTCGATCACACTTTGCTACCCCGCCATCCACTTTTATTTTCAGCAACCTCCTTTGGTTTCCGTTCCACATTTTGCGACGCTTTGCCTCGCATTTCTTGCCGTTTTCTAAGCTTTCGCAATTGACTGAGCAAGAACTGTTTGGACCACGCCCACAAGCATTGTCGCCGGCTAAGGGGCTAAAACCCATGAGTTGCATTAAAATTTTAATGATGTGCAACGGTGACAGCGGTAAGGGCGGGGCCCTTGGAAGCTGAATAAGTCGGAGCAGAGCAGAGCAGATGCAGTCAGTTAAGTTTCCAAAGTTCCTTTCTACAGCCCATGTATCCCAGCCTCCCCAGAACTATATATGTGTGTGCTTGCGCATCACTTCCTTTACTTCCTTCTGCGGCTCTTAGTCCTCTTCTGGCATCAGCACACATTAAGACCGATGTGGATGCAGCAGCTCCTCAGTAAAACATTCCTCCCTTCTGTTCGTGCAATTAAAATGCAGAAACTTTACGCAAGATCCTGGTATGTCCTGCAGTGAAAGAAAAATAGTTTGAAAAGTGTACCGCATTTGGCATACTTTCAGCCAACTTTACAAAGAGTTTCGGTGTTCATTAAACCATAGAAATAATATGTATCAATAAAAAATATTATATTTAAATTATAATGTTAAAGATAAATTTTTCTAATATTCATTTCGAATATTCCAACAGTTATAAGAAAGCTTATATGTAAGCTTCAATAGACTTATCTTATATTTAACAAAATCATGTTATTTTGAAATCGATAATTTGGTCCTAGAAAATAATCCTAATTTTCCTTCAGTGCTGCGGATGCACCTTTTAGCAGCAGTTTATGGCTTGGATACGGCTGAACTCAACGGGGTCCTGCCAAGTGGCTGTAATGAAAATGTTGCCTTATTAGCCGCAAAATGTCTCTCAGAAACAGCGACTTCATATGCAAATTACTTCGGGGACTGAATTAAACAACAGCCCCACCTAAAGCTGCATATCTTCTTAATTTAACCCATATTTCCCCTTTGGCCTTCTGATCAATTTCGATTATGCCAAAAAGGACCTGAAAAAGGATTAATTATGCCATAAGCTGCAGGCGGAGCAGCTTTCCCAATTAGCATAAGTAACAAGTAATCCGGAAACTGGAAACTGGAGTAAATGTTGCAAGCGCTTTTCTGCTCCTCCTCCCGAATGAATTGCAGGTTTCGTGTTTTGAGCCCTAAGCTCATTTATTAATTGCCGCCCGGAAAAGTAGGCTTAAAAAAAAAGAGAACACCCTCTGCTTTAAATATGAAAATTATTATTTATGGAGGCAAATGGCCGGGTTGTACTACAGCTAACACAGATTTACTTTCCCGTCGGCTAATGCTGATGATGCGGCTTTTAATTTATTTGTGCGAGAACTGCGCAGAAAAAAAATCATAAAAAATGCGGAGATAGAAGAGAAAAAGAGCGAGCCGAAAAAAAAAGCAGAGGAATGGAAAGGAAAGCCTGGGTGCGGCTATTGATTTTTCCGTCTGCTGATGAGCTGGAACTTTTGCCACGATAATGATGATGATGGCGGTTGCGGTGTCCAAGGCGAACGCCTCGCTGCGTTTTGTCGCGTTGGCAAATTTGTGTTACTTGTTCGGGAGTCGAAAATTTGTGTCACTTGAACACGGAAAAATCATTAAAGCCCAGCCGAAAAAAAAATGCTCGAACATAAATCTCTGCCAGCTGATAAAATGGCAAAAAACACCACAGGGAAATACAAATTGGCTTGCGTCCGGATCCGCATCCTTTAAAGGTAAAATGATAAAGCGCCAACCAAAAAAAGTCAGGAATTAAGCAAAAGTCGCGTTCATACCGCTGACAGACTTGAGCTTGATAAATGTGCAGTTTTCCAGGGATTTTCACGCTTTTCCCGCTGCAGTGCAGCTGCCAATTAAGTGTCAAATTATGCCAAAGGCTTTGGGTGGGCGTGGCCTTGCAAAATAGGATGCAACAAAAGGCTTTTCTTCGTTGAAGAGTTGTGCAGATAGATACGAACTGAATGGATGAGGGGAGACTAAACAACAATAACAACAATTGTTGGCCCCAACAAGGCCACGACACAATTTTCTTTGTTATTTGTGTGTGTGTGTGTGCGCGCGTTTGTTTGCGAGTGAAAGTTCTGAAACTCTTGAGAGGCATTCAAAAGCAAAAACATTGCGCTATTTTGCCAAAAACTTTTTCAATTTGTTGCAGAGAAAAGGGCAAGAGATGGGTAAAATCCTGTGTTGCTCATTTGTTGCATTTAAAAAGCAATTATTTGCTATAAAAAGCTGTGTAGGGGGAAAGCATCAAGGAAACACACAAAACATTTGTACAGAACAAAAATGTTAGTGTTTTTTAGCGTCTACTTTGAAATACTTATCACATATATTAATGTATTGGAACTTTCTTTATAATTATTAATAAAATGATGATTCATTTATATTAAGAAAGAGGGTTAATATATAAATCAAATTATTTATATAGTAGCATAGGCTTCTATTTAAAACTATTTCAATTCTTATGGGGAAAAAATAGTACAAATTAAAAATATTAGTCGTATATAATTTGGCTAAATAACTTGTTTTTTTTGTCTGTTCTGAACATAATAATTTTCTTATGACAGACACAAAATTTTCCTTTATTATGTGCACTGAATATGCATAATGGTAAGTGTGGGTGCTAACGAGTTTTAGTGTAGAATACGAAACCCTTTTAGGCAGTTCATTGGATTATATGCTTTTGCTCCCATCTAAATGTAAATGGGCAATTGCAAAATAATAAGTGAGTAGATGTGTGAGATGACCGGTATATTTAACACTTTAGGCACTTTTTATTATAAGACGTCCGCTTTATTCAATGCATATACCAAGAATGAATAACATTGGGCTTCCTTAAAGATTATGTTATACTTAATGTTAGCTTAACATTAACAATCGATAGTTTATCGGGCGTAAGGTTGCCTACTACAATTCGGCCGTCCTGCGACTTGGATCCCCTGATCCTGAGATTCTTAAAACTAAAGTTAAAGCTAATTACAATACTCTTATCTTAATACAAAGTTGGATTGTAATCTTATGTTTTACAATGTTTTCCTTTTTCCTATCCATGGTCTTATATTTTGAGCACTCCAGACACCCTTGTACGGATTTCGCGATACTTGAAAGCCTTCAACGTCTTGCAACAAGAACCTGTCGTTCCGAAGCACTTTGGCTATGACATATGGTCCTTTATTCTTGGGGATCAACTTCCTCGCAACTCCTGCTGTGCTATCAAAGTTTTTTACCATGACGTAATCCCCCTTTCCGTAGTCCTTGGCCTTTTTCTTTTTCTTGTCAAAATAAGTTTTATTGTATGCCTGTGCTTGATTTTGATTATCTATTGCTTTTAGTCGAATTTCCTCTAAACTTTCAGTAACAATCGTATCTTTTATTTCTTCTAATTTTTCTCTAAGCTCATCTACGATCTCTCCTTTCTGTTGAACACCAAAAAGCATCTTGCTCGGGACCTGTTTAATGCTTCTATGTATAGTGTTATTAAGGGTATATTCTACTTGCTCAATTACTGTGTCCCAATGTGCACCGTTTTCTGGTTCTGTAAGTTTTGCAATCATAGGGCCAATGCTCCTGTTTATACGCTCCACCTGTCCGTTGGCTTGTGGAGACCCTGTTGCAATTTTCAAGTGCTTTACGTTCCTCTGAGACAAGAATTGTTCGAAATCATTAGAGGTAAAACAACTACCTCTGTCTGATACAATCGACTTTGGTGTGCTATAAGCCCTGAAGTAGTCGCTTAATGCTTTTAAAACTTCTTTTGTATTTGTTGTCTTAGTTGTGTACAGTCTTACGAACTTAGTAAACCCGTCTACAATCAGAAATATGTGTTTATTTGCTCTTCCTTTATCCACTGGTCCGTAGTGATCGATATGCAACAACTCGAATGGCTTATCCCCTTTCGGAATACTATGCAGAAAACCTTCTGATTTCCCCGTTTTTGGTGCAAATGCAACACATTTTAGGCAATTTTCAATGTGACTACTGCACTTCTCTTTCATTTTATCAAACCAATATGTTTTTAAAATAGCGTCTAACATTTTATCTCTACCAATGTGTCCAAGTTCATTGTGATATTTATGTAAAATATGACTCTCCATTTCTTCAGGGACATAAAATAACAATCTGTCGTCGTTCCATTTTCTGTACACGACCCCGTTTCTCATTTCAAACATTTTAAGTTGATTTTTCTCTAGCTGGTCTCGAACTTGTAAAATTTTTGAATCTTTTGATTGACAGATTAACAGATTATCTTCAAAACTATTGGCCTCAATCGTCAATATATGACACCTACTTAGAGCATCTACGTGCTGCATTTTATTTCCCGATCGATGAACTACTTCGTAATCAAAATTTTGAAGTTCGAGTGCCCACCGGGCAATTCTAGGGTTTAGGTCGACCCTATTTAAAGTAAGGGTTAAAGAATTACAATCGGTTATTATCTTAAAATGCCTTCCGTGAAGGTAAATTCGAAATCTGCGAAGGGCGTATATGATAGCTAATGTTTCTAGCTCAAAGCTGTGGTACTTGGACTCAGTTTCTGTTGTTCGCTTTGAGAAATAGAATACGGGATGAAATTTTCCATCCCCTTTCTTTTGCATTAAAACTGCACCGAATCCTAAAGAGCTTGCATCGCAATGTAACTCGACATCGTCTTTGTGATCATAAATAGCCAAGACAGGGGACTCGATTAGTTTTTTCTTAAGCTTTAAAAAACAATTAAACTCTTTCTCTGTAAACGTAAAGTCCTTATCTTTTCTTAACATATCGTAAAGTGGCTTGGCTAAAATAGAAAAATCTTTTATAAAGCGTCTGAAATATGAGCATAAACCCAAAAAGCTTTGAACGTTGTGTAATTTTTCTGGGATCGGAAAGTTTTCAATAGCGTCAAGACCTCTATCATCTGCTCTAATTCCTTCTTTAGTTATGAAGAATCCTAAATATTTTATGCTTGACTGCATAAACTCACACTTATCCAGCCGCAGCTCTAACCTATTATTAACTAAACGTATAAATACTTCCTTTAATGTACTTAAATGTTCCTCTATATCTGTGCTGGCTACCATTATGTCATCCATATATACAATAACTTTATTTTCTCTGATCAAATCGGAAAAAATCTTGTTTACGAAGCGTTGAAAAACGGCTGAAGCATTTTTTATTCCCATGGGCATCCTCAAAAATTCAAACTGTCCTAAAGGAGTCACAAAAGACGTATACTTTATCGAATCATTGCTCACGAATACGTGGAAATATCCATTTTTCAGATCGAGCTTTGAAAATACACTTTTATTGACTAGCTTATCCAAGAGGTCATCTATTAAAGGCAGAGGATAGTTGTCTTTTATTAGAACTTTATTAAGCTTGCGATAGTCTATGCACAATCTAAGATCACCAGTTTTCTTCTTTACCAACACGATTGGGGAAGCATATTCCGAGTCGCTATTTCTTATAATGCCTTTATCTAGGTATTCGTCTAACATTTTCTGAAGCTGATCCTTTTCACTATATGATAGCCTCCTAGGTGAACAACTAAACGGTTTCGATTTTTCAATGTTAATTTTCATTTCACATCTGATAAAAGGTATTTCTGGTCTTTTTGCAGTACCGTATAACGTTTTAAACATTTTGACAAACCTGCACTTGGTTTCGTAGTCGATTTCATTACCAATGCTATAATCCGGGAATTGATCATCAACTATGTTGATGCCTAACATATCCTCATCAAACGTTTCTGCTAAAATGCTCTTTGTCAGTTTTTCGGTTTGTATTCCTAACAGTTCCTCCTTAAAAGTTTTACTTTCTAATAGTTGGTTCTTAACAGTCTCTTCTCCTACGAGTTGCTTCTCAACAGTATCTCCTTCCATTAATTGTTCCCTAACAGTCTTATTTCCTAACAGTTGCTCTTTAACAGTCTTATTTCCTAACAGTTGCTCCTTAACAGTTTCATTTCCTAACAGTTGCTCCTTAACAGTTTCATTTCCAGTTAAATGTCCTAGACAATCCGTACAAACATCTTCAGATAAATCAGCCATTCTATGTCGTTGATCCTTCGTTCCACAATAAAGGTTCAAGTTGCAAGTGTGAGACAGTGAGTTATTTTTGTTAATATTACAACTACTATCCTTAATAGTGTCAAGGGTGTCTAGATTAATGCTTAAACCAAAGATATCCATGAAATCCCTTCCCAGAATTGCATCATGGCTCATGGACTCATCAGCGACAATTATTAAATCAAAACAAATTTTTATTCCTTTCTTCATGATAAAACACAAAGTTTTTCCTTTTACATTAAGTTGGCTCTTATTTATACCAAAATATGAAGTCTTAACTTTAGTAATGTGTATTTCATATGGGACTTTGGAAAGTTTTATAAATGAAATCGCGCTGCCTGAGTCTATGAGACATTCTGCAATAATTGGTACATTAGAAAACGAAACGAAATAAATTTGCATAGATCTTACATAATTGTTGTTGTCGCTGGCGCTCTTCCTCTTAGGGCATTGCCCTACGAAGTGCCCCATTTCTCCACATGCGAAACAAGATCCGGGAGCCCTTTTTGGCTTGCGGCAATCCTTTGCGAAATGGCCCTTGGAGTTACAGTTTCTGCAGCGCAATTCGTTGTTTGCAGAGGCCTCCATAGATGTCTTCTTCGCTGCGTTGGTCTCGATTATCTGCGGGAGGCAGATATTTGCGAAGGCTTGCTGCATCTGCTCCGGGTTGGCGAATCGTTGAATGCGTGCTTGATCCCTTAAATTGGCTGATGGCACTCCTTCGATGATTTGTTCCAAAAGCTCATCTGTCTCCAGGTTGATGGGTTGAGCCAACATCATCTTGTCTTCGAAGTACATGGCAAAACGCTCGGTTTGTTGCCATTTCCGTTGCTCGAATTTGCGACGCTGCTCGGATTTTGAAGACATTTGCCCGAAGGCCATAATCAGCTGCTCGCATAGCCTCTCGAAAGGTTCCAGCATTCTAGTGGGGTTGGCATGTAACCAACGCTGTGCCTTTCCCTTCAGCTTGGTGATGAACAGCATCCTTAGACAGTCGTCAGCCAAAACATATACCTGACCAATGTTCTTAAGGTGCTCCACCCAGATGCGAGCACACATGTTTTCGTCAAAGTCTATGGCTGCTTCTTTGGCGAAAGATAACGATGTTGCTGATGCAGCTCGGCTGGCAGCTCCGTCGGCGTTGAAAACGGCGGTGTTGTTGTTCGTTGAGCCAAATACTGCTAAACCACTGCTGTTGCCACTCGATGCAATGCCTTGCAGGGCTGGCAAAACGTTTGAGCTTGTAATGCCGCCACCAGATGCATTGTCGTCTGAGGTCGGTAGCACGATCAGACTGGTAGGGTTGCCAGACGATGCATGCATTGGCGACCGCGGTAGAATGTTCGAGTCTCCGAGGTTGCCACTATTGTCAACTGCTTGTTGTTGTGCGGCGCCACGTGTCTGCGCTTGTTGTAACAAATTGCGATGCGCACTTACTTCTGCCTGCAGCTGCCTTATGATGGCAAGAAGTTCATGTTGCTCAAGGGCATCTCGGGAGAACACCCTCTGAGAAGCCGCTGGTGCGATGTTCACGTTGCCCTCGGCGCCCTGAAATTGATGGGCGGAGGCGTCGCCTTGAACTTCTTCGGAATCTTCGTTATCGGGTTGATCTTCTCCAGAATTTGGGTTGGCGTCTTCGCGTGGTGCCTGGCCGCGCTCCTCGGGAGGAACACGCCTAAGACGAGCCATCAATTCGGCCTTAAGGCCTTGAGTTGGCATTCCCAGCGCGGAAAGCCATCTTTTTAGTTGAACAACCGAGAAATTGTTGAAGTTTATATCGTCCATTGCGTAGATTTATCCCACTTCTGAATTTGTGAGAGGACCGGTATATTTAACACTTTAGGCACTTTTTATTATAAGACGTCCGCTTTATTCAATGCATATACCAAGAATGAATAACATTGGGCTTCCTTACAGATTATGTTATACTTAATGTTAGCTTAACATTAACAATCGATAGTTTATCGGGCGTAAGGTGGCCTACTACAGATGGGAAAATAGAATATAAAATACAAACTTGTCTATCTACATATTTAGAAAAAGTTCTTGCCGAGCGGGAAAGGAATAAGAGAAAAGTGGAGAGGAAAGCGAAGTAGCGTAACGAAATTTCAATTTCGTTGTCTAAATAAAGCCGTAAGTTATCTCCCAGCTGGAAAATTGAGTTTCCCCGAGTTGAGCTGAGTCGGCTTTCCTTTCTCTCTCTTTGCCCTTTCCCCGTAGGCCAAAGTTGCAAGTGCATGTAAATAAATTAGGACTCCCCTAGAGATTCCTCCAAGCAATTATTGAGCAATGCCAATGCTGGAAAAACAAAGCCGAGAACTCGGGGATTGGCTGGGGCTATCAATTTTCCTGGGATTGTGGTTCGTTTCCTTACCCTTTTCCGTCCCCCCAGCCTTTCCTTTCCTTTTGGGCAGACAAACTTTGGCCATTTCCTGCAGAAATCCCCATGCAAATGTTTAGCAGGCCACTTGGATCCGAAAATATAGCATTCACAATGCGAAATTTTGTGTTAGGAGGGAGTAGGAGAACACAGGGTCAAAGTGGTTACGTAACATTTAAGGGGATAAAGTGGGGCAAAGGGGAAAGCCCCGACCGACACTAAAAACCAAAACTTGCCCTGGCCAAGGATTTTTCCAAATGTTTCGAGCAACTCGGTCAACTCAAGTCACGCACTTTGCGAACATTGTCAAATCGACAATTTACTCGTTAGCACAACTTTTTCTCCAGAACAAAAACTTGGCCAAAGCAGCTACTGATGTTGCTCGGTAAATTGAAAGCTCCTTGTATTTAGTTTCGAAATTTATTTGCAAAATAAAGTCGTACAGGATTTAGCCCGGATTTGTTTGAGATAAAGGATGATGTGGGTGGATTGTACTTGAGTCTGTTTTATGATGGCAATACACTTGATTCGAAGTTTCGGGCTTTAATTATGCTGAATGTGGGGGGGTAAAAATAAAACTTTTTCCTCAGGGCCATGATCCTGTGTGACATTTGTGAAAAGTCGCAGAAAAACAATTGCATTGCACTCTGGTTGTTGTTTATGCATGAAACGTGCCTTGCAGCTGTTCTTAACTCCAGTTCTTTGTTCCCAATTATTTCGCTCATTTCTTTATAGTTTTTCCTGCCTTTTCTTACAGTTGAGTGACACAATTTTCGCTCATTACGGAAACTGCGAAGGTTGCTCCTTGTCTTATTTTTTCATTTCGTTTGCCAAGTTTTTGAGTCAGCCAGAGAAGTTTTTAAACGCTTTATTGAAACAATTTCCGTTTTATGGAAATGTACGCCCAGCTTGCTGGAATATTTCATTTTCGCAGTCATATATCAAAATGGTGTCAAGCATACGCCATGTTGGCCAGCCAAAGAAGCTGCAGCAGCATCAGCTGCCAGCAAATGCAAATTTAATGCGGCGTGCAGTGGAAAAGCATATCCCATTCCATTTTCGGTGCCTGGCAGCAGGTGGTCCCGATGAAATGACATCATTTAAATTCATGCATGACCCACATTGCACCTCAGGACGCCGATGGTGGCATGGTGCAGCATCTGCTTTCTGGCTTTTGCACCACCCGCTCCTTGGCATTCGCTTCGTGTTTTATTAACAAAGCAATTTATAGCATAAATTCGCATTGCACTCGGTTGTTTGGTTGGCCACAGTTGCCGCAGCTCCCATCGATCCTGTCCCGCTGGAGGATAAAAAGTTTGCGCCCATAATCGTTTAAACGGGGGCAGCCGAAACCCCGTGAAACTGCAAGTTGTGCAGGACTTCATTTGAGACCCGAAAGTATGCAACATGGTGGCACCCTGTGCTAAGTCATGTGAACGGCTGCCACTCGCCATTCCCCACTTTCTACTTACTGCCTTGCCCCATTTTGCTGACTGCTAATTGCTGCATAAATCAAGCGGCAAAACAGCGAGCAGCGGCAGAAAAGAGAGGAGAGAGCATAAAACGCTTTAAATAAACTCGGTCAGAACGAAAGTGTTGCAAGCGCCGGGACAAACACTTTTTTCCCTCCTATTCTTTTTTTTCCGCATGCTTTATGGCCACTTGGGGTGCTGCTCCGATGCCCCATCCTCCAACCAGCAACCACTCCACCGCCCTTCGGTTGCTGGAGGGATATTTATGAGTGCTCCTGGTCAAGCGTTTGCTTGCCAACTGTCCTGCACAGGATGATATATGCTGCGGTGTGCGTTTTGCGTTCGCAACGCTGCGTATACGCAATGCACAAATATTTTAATTAAATTTCAAACGAAACCAGAAGATATGAAAGGAAGGCAAACAACAGAAACATCAGCGAAAATGAAAATGTTTTTGAATGGATAATGTTTGTGTGCCTTATTTTCATTTTTTTTTTGGTTGCTTGGGGATATTTGTGTATAAGATGTGATGCCCAATTTATATTACTCTTAAGCAATTTGCATTGAAATTGTTTTGTGGAGCCGTAACTTAAACCAAGAAGCAAATAAATAGATTTTCAACGATTAGGGTGACACAAAAATGTGTTTTAAAAAGCGGATTAATTTAAATTGAAATATACTATAATTAAATGTTTTTAATATTTTTGTATTAAGAAAGGGCACACTTTGTAATAAGAGGTATTTTAGCAGTCATGTCTCTCAATTTCAACTGATTTCACGTTTGTTTTTAAATTCTCGTATTTGCTGAAAAGTCGGCCCCCGGTTGTGTGCTTTCCATTTTCGGTTATAAATGCCGTGGAGCAGCAATTGAAATGTTTGTAAATCCTCGACTGAATGAAACAAATGGAAACAAATGCTCGAAGCTCTATTGGGAAATTTAATTTTGGCTCGAGTAAAAACAAATTTTAACTTTTTGTCACTGGAAAATTAATTGCTTCCTCTCGGCCACAATCACTCAATTCACGCTCATTCCCATTACTCACGCTCGTTGTCGGCCTTGTCTATATAAAATATATGTGGGGTAAAATCGTGGGGTCGGGGGTCAACAAGTGTCGCTGTCTGGCTGGCCAACTGCCAAGTCTTGGGACACGGCTTTTATAGGGCATTTCATAACGCGTGAAGAAATTCAATTAAGTCGCCCGCCTCCCTCTGCGCCTCTGTTTCTATTTTGGCCACTGTTTTTATGGCCCGAACAAGCGGCAAACGAAATTAAAGTCAATAAACAAGAGCTGGCGTCTGCGGCCGGGAATTGTCTCTGTCATTCGGTTGGCCCACGGCTGTCTCTGGCCAATTGGTTCTGGTCACAGTTGTTGTGGCCCTCTGGTCCTTTTCAACCCCCGCCCTCCCCTTGATTGGGGTTTTTGTACTTGTTTTGGTGCGAATAAACCGCAAAAACCGGTCGCAGGCGAAGCTCAGTCAGACAATGGGCCACATGAAATGTGTTCCCCGAAGGCCGGAGGACATGACCCAAGGGTCTCGATCCCTCTTAGCATCTCAAACGCGAATGTGGAACAACTCAAGGACACGAAACGTGCATAATTTTCAATGGAAAACAGCTGCCATTTGTTGCCCACAAAAGCGGGCTTTGTTATAAAGAAATACCCTCTATTCGAATCATGTGGCACTTAGGAAAATATTTGGGAGCAACCTTTGTTTCAAGATTGTTCGTTTCTCTGAAGTACTTGAAATGTCAATTCTATTGCTTATAGTAAAATATTTTTTGGTTCTTTGAATCCTTGAAAAAAAATTTCAAGACTTTTAATAGGCTGTTAGTTGCCTGGCACTTTTTAAGACCTTTACAGAAGGCTGAAATATAATTATACAAGATTATTTTTAACTGTCTTGAAACAACAATAACTTAAATCGTTCTACAAATTTATAAATAAATATATAAACATGTGTAAAAAATTAATAAAATAACTCCATAATCATAGAACCTACTTACCATTTTAAAAACATATTCTTCATTTAAAAGTTTATAATTGCTTTATCTATTTTAGCACTCAAAATTTCAATTTTATTCGAACCAAACTGATCTCTAATTTCCCGCTCATTTCCGTTGCAGATACACGAAGATCTAGAGAAAGATCCCGACTATTCTGGCTCCGGCTTCGGACCCGATGACGAGGACGCCGAACCCGACCAACACTCGCACAGTTCGCACAATACGCGAATCTCGAACGGCGGCGCCGGCATAAACAGTAAGCATAACTCGAACGAGAACTTCGGCAAGAACAGCAACAGCGACCTCATCTCGAGTAGATTCAACAACAAGAATAATCACAATCAGATCGACAACAGCCAGAATATCAATCTCAATCCTAATAATAACCATCAAACGAATAGTGGCACAATCATTGGTAGTAGCACCACAGCGAACAATAATAACCACAATATCAACATCAACAGCCAGAGCGGCATCATCAGTGGCAGTGGTAGTGAGATCGGTGGCCATAGCACTGGCACTAACTCAATCGGTAAAGATCAAGCTAGTCATGTAAATGCAACACTCGTTGGTGTACCTTCCACACCCGCCACCACTTCTTCTACTTCAACTTCAGTTTCAACAAACACACCATTTCCAACAACAGATACAGATACAGCAACAGTTACAGCATCAGATAAAGATAGTATTTCAGCTAAAAATCGATCGAATTTAGTTATTAGTCACATTAGCATTAACGACCATTCAACCCCCCTCCCTCCCTCGAATCATACAAAACAACACCAACAACAACAATCGCATCTCTATATCCAGCAGCTCATACACCAACACAAACCCCATCCACAATCTCAACAACTTCGAGTTCGAGTTCGAGTTCGAGTCCGAGTTCGAAACCAACGCCTGCAACCACCACCACAACAACAACCACCGCATCCAGCACAACGGCAGCCACAAGTACCACATCGACAACCTCGACAACGCCGTCGTCTGTCCATTCCAATGCCACAACGACCACGGTTGCGCCCACGATTCCCACATCCCCCGATCATCCGATATTCCCGCCCTTCGATAAGGACCTGGACTCGGAGGCCAGTGGCGATAGCATCGATTCTGACGATGAAGACGGCGGAGATTATGAGGAAGATTTGGACAAAGAAATTGACATCGATGATACCGAATCGGAAATTCCCAGTCCAGTTACGCCCAAAATCTCTAAGACAGGAATGTTCGATAATGACCCAACGCAGGAAGAAATCGATGTGGATGGCAGCGACGAGGATGAAAGTGTGGATAGCGACGTTGATGGTCCAGCAATTGGTGGCACCGATGGAGATATTACAGAGCGCGAACGTCAGTGGTTTTTATTTTCACCATTTTCTTTCTTTCTTCTCATTATTTTATTTGTTTTTTGTATTTATTTGTGTAGTATTGTGTTTGGTTGTACCTTTTGCTTACCATATTTGTTTAATTGTCTTTATTGCACTTCATTTCTGTTGTCTTTTAAGTCCCCTGGCACTGCTTTGTAAAAAAAAAGATATCTATATTTACTTGTTTTGTTTTTTAGCTATGTAATTCCTTGCTTTCCTTTGGACACTCTGCTTTGGTTTTAAGTTTTATTTACTACAAAAAAAACTTGAAAAGTATTATTGGTATACACAGTATATACACAGAAAACTCTTGATCATATTTGTTGATAACTAAATTACTTTTTTAAATGAAAAACAAATATTATTCAATACGAAAATCCATTCAAGTTTGTTTTCTGTGTTTATACCTGCTTTGCTTATTTTAAGTAGTTATATTTTGCGTTTATGTATACTTGATTTGCTTTCTTTAAGTAGTTTACGTCTGTACTTTACAAGTATTTTTTAGTAAAATTAAGTTTCACGTTGGTGTGTGTTCATGTATGATTTAGTTTATTTGTCGCGCTCTGAAAAGTCTACGGTCAACGCAGCGGGTGTTCTGCATATCCTCTCGGTCTCAGTCTGTCCTACGTCCCTGTTTCACTCAATGTTTCCCACACGCTCATTGAATCATAACCAATTCATTGAATCATTTCCGTTCACTCCTGTTCTTGTCGTTTATTCGATTGGAAAAACTCCCGCAGAGTCAAACACAAATTCACTCGCCCTCATCGTTTAAGTGTTTAGTTTTAACCTTAAGCTAGCGCTAGATTAAGGCGAATATTTTAAGAATAGTTTAAAAGCTTTTATCGTGACAAACGGTGAACAAACAAAGGACAAAGACAATGCCAAAGCCAAAGCCAAACAATCGATTAAGCTGCAGCAGGGAAAGCACTTTATCATGGAGTCGAGGGTGGGATACATTCTGCAATTCTTGCCCTAGGCATAAACTTCCATTAACACTGTTCCGAGAACTCCGCCTCTTTCAGTTTGGTGAATGAAAATCGCCTGGAAAATCGCACTAAGCCGCGCAGTGATTTTGTGCTTTGTTGCTGGGGAAAAACACTTGGCGTGCTTCGCAGGCACTTCAAATGAAAAATCACCGATTCCTGGCAATGGCAAGGCTCCTGTTTCTGTTACCCACTCTCTTTTGCCTTTTACGCGTAACAGTAGCCGTTTACTTGAGGCATTGTTGCTCCTGCCATGGCATTGTGGGTGGTTTCACTTGGAGAAAAACTAGGGCCATAAAATAAGACTTAAATAAATAAATGTAGATCTAAAAAAAATTAGTTAGAGTTCATCAATGTTTTTAGTTCTGTGCAATAAACTGCTCTACAGCAGCAATTAAATAAATATATCATCAAGTTTTTCTTTGAAAGCCAGAACATTATCATTCAGAATATTCCCCTTAGCTTTAAGAGATTTCAAACAAGTCCTAACTTACTTTAAAACACCATTATAGCCAATTTCAAAGTTCTAAAGATTTCTGTGGCAGCTCACTTTATGAGTGATTTTACCAATATTAAAAAAATTATTTCTGTGTAGAGATCACAATCATGAACAATCACTGTTTATGGTGCTAAGAAACCGCGCAGTGCACCGTCAGAGTCTGAAACATGGCCTAATGGCAATCGACTGTGAGGGTTCTGTGGGCTTATGGCTTCGATGTTTGTTTTGCTATTGCCACGCCTCGGCCGAAAACACAAACACAATCAATATTGCGGCTGGCGCGGGTGACAAACAGGACTGGCAATAATTTTGCCATAATTGCGCACAGCTGACCTCACGAAACAGCGAAGCACAAACTGTAAGCCAACATGTTCCCGCCTCCAATTCGGCATCAAAGTGCATTTTCCCATCAAATCCAGACACACACACATGGTGGCACCTTTATTGGTTCAGTCCAAACAGAAAGACTTCAAGTCGAGCAGACAATCAATGTGATGGCAAGACAGCGAAGCAATCTCAAAGCCAGGAGCTGATAAATCCATTTGCTCTTGGAAATCGCATTGGAAGGCAAATATTTATACCAGAGCAGAGCAGAGCGACTTAAAGAACACTCTTTCTCAGTGATTGCCACGAGTTTGCAAAGCGCATATAAAATCAATTCGAGAGGTTTATTCGCGAGGGCCAATTCAAGGAGTCCTCGTGGGCATTACCTAATTAATATGCCGCCCCTCAAGGGAGCATCCATGTGTGTGCTTTAGCTGCACAGAAGTGGGGGTACAAGGGCTAAACAAGCAATTTGTTTGTCTTGAGCTGTTTGGGGAGCTTAATAGGCAGCGTGGGGATCAAACAATAGCTCCGTAAAGAATAAGGACCAAACACATATGTCGGAATTCGGGGTACTGATGAACAGAGGCCATGCCAATTATATAAAATGTAAACTCGCATTTTTTCGACAGCCAATTGGCTTTAAATTTTCGCTTTGCTCTCGCCTGTCAGTTTCAAGAAAGCAAAATAATTGCATGATTTTGAGGGCGAGTCAATCCATGAGCCTAAGTCAACATTTGAAATTTTCAAGCAAAATTTGTCACAATTCGTTGCTGACAAACTTTTTTCATTCTTCACAAAACTTTTCCGGGAATCCGTGCTCATTACCGTGAAATGAACTGTCAGCTCTAAACAAATATTTATTTTGGCTATGTAGGCAAACCTTTAAAGTAAAGATATCTCTACATTTAAATTATAAATCAAAACACTAACCGTAGTTCTAAACAGCGATGCTTTAAAGATCTATGGGGATTTGAAATTGATTTGAAAAGGTGGCCAAAAGCAGCTGTGATATATTTTATCTATTAAAGAAATAGTTTTGGGTAGTTCAGTCCCATCTTTCAAGATACATTTTTTGCATCCTTATAAATTTATAGAAATTTGTGAGACATACCACTTAAGACCTAGCATTTGGAGTAAGTTTCCCTATGTAGTAAACGCAGCTCGACTAACATTAAGCCTTGTAAATACTGCATATCAGCTCATTAGCACACGCACAACACACATACACACACACAAATGTTTACACAACCGTATACGCTCACTAAAACCAATATTGACACTCGAATCAATTTAATTGAATACCCACCACACAACAAAACACGAAACAACACCAAACAGCAACTCTCTGTCTCACTCTCTGTTTTGTTTGATTTTGCTTGCACGTCATGGGCATAAATGGACTTTTTCGCTCACTGCATCTCTTTCTCATCGCATAATGCCTTCTCTTTCTCCGGAACAGCGGGCGCAGGTGGCAGCAACGTGCACGAATTGGACCCCAATACGAACGTGAATAGCCAGCCCTCCGACACGAAGGGCATCGATCACAGGCCCAACGGCAACGAAGTGGTCATCATGAGCGAGGACGATCGCACGTCGAGCTTCTTCTCGCAGCCCGGAATTCTGGCTGGTAAGTGTATCTATAGGGTCCATCTGTAAGCCTTCAAATTTGAAAACTTGAATTCTATAGCCTTTAATAATTTAATTAATTGATATGTGAATATCACTTGTGAATATCACTCATACGCCATGTTGCTATACACTTTACGTTTCGCTTAATGGAAAATGGTACAATTTTATCCGTTTTCAACGATGCAATATTAAAATTTGCTTCAAGAAAATATAAGAATTTTACAAAGCAAAATATTTTGCTTAATTTTTTTTGTAAATTTGGAAACTTGTTTAATCTAAATTTTTTTGAGAATGAATTGATATTATTAGGATATTATTTTAAACTCTTTTAGAAAATTTAGTGTACCTTTATAGCTATATTAAACTATTAAAAAGGGGTCATGGGCAAGAAGAAAAATTAATTTAACTTTTTTTATCACAACTCTGCGTATAAGTGATATATTTTCGAACTATAAATTATAATTTGATTCAAGAATAAATGTTAATTGAAGTAAATCCCTCAAATATTTAAAGTATAATAATGTATTAAAGTCAAACTTATAAGTTAAGAAAACCCTGATTAACCTTTAAGTATAAAACACGCAGATTACTAATCGATTTTCCTTTCCACAGCTGTTATTGGTGGGGCCGTTGTTGGCCTGCTCTGCGCCATACTCGTGGTGATGTTCATTGTGTACCGCATGAGGAAAAAGGACGAGGGATCCTATGCGCTGGACGAACCCAAACGATCGCCGGCCAACAACTCGTATGCGAAAAACGCGAATAATCGCGAGTTTTACGCCTGAGATAATGGCACGGCGCGCAGGTATTAAGTTGACCACAAGGGCAGGAAAAAACTGTGAGGACGAGGGTGCGGAAAACTGGACGGAGGCGGAGCGAATGGGTTTAATTAGGCTCAACTGAATACACTGTGCGAAGTGGAAGTGCACCATCATCAGCAATCCACTAAAAAGAGGATAGTTCATCCGCAGCAGCAGCTACAAAACTAACACAAAAAACAATTGAAAATTTCAAAACATTTTCAAAATCACACAATTTTTCGTGAGGGGTAAATAAAACTAAAATAATAAAAAAACAAATCGACAAAATAATAACAAAAGAAAAACAAAAAAAATTGAAAACTTACCTGTAAGTTAATGCAAAATACACACACACAGACAAACAACCGACTCTCTGCGTGTGTGGGTGTGTTTGCAACTTTTCTAATTAAGTAAGTTTTAAGCGACAAAAACCAACAAAAAATATCAAATATAATTGCAAATAAATCATGCAAAATTTAATATATAAATAATATATTATATATAAATAGTGAAACCAATATAAGGGCGGGCAAAATTAAGCGAATTAATTATGAATTACGAGTATGTAGAGCAAAAGCAGAAAGAGCAGGAGAAAATGGAATAATAATTATAATAATACACACACACGCGCATCCAACTACATAGATGTAAAAGGCAACTTTCGTGCATATTGAATATAAATGTATGCATTATATATGTTAGCTGAGTAATAAAAGCGAATTGGATACATCACGATTATTTCTCAACTCTCGATAGACCCCTCGTCGAACCACACACTCTTAACTCTTTATTTTAAATATCAATTGTCAAACGAAGTCCAATGAAAATAATTATAATTATGAATTGTGCGGCACATAACAAACGGAAATCGATGCATAAATGTTTTTAAGTTATACATAAGCAAAACTATGTAATTATTAGTGTAATTCCTAAAACAAAAAAAAAAAAAAAGAAAACAAAAAATGAAAAATCCTAAATCAAGCAAAAACAGATTTATTGACACTGTGAACCTTCCTGGCAACTAAAAACAAACAGAATTGAAATGAATAGAACTATTTCTACTTTTTTCTAGAAAACACAAAACCATGAATATTTATTGAAATGAAATTGAAATTGGAAAATTGAATTGAAATCGAAAGAAATGGAAAATCGTCAGAAAGAAAGCAATTGTACATTAATTTAGGTTTCCACTTGGGTTTTAGAGTTATTCGAGATTTCCTTCGCTTGAATTAACTGCTTCTTCCATGGCTAAGAATCAAAATCGGATTAACGCATTAATTATTGTGCATTTATTTAGTTTTTACGTTCGCTGTCAATGACAATTGTTTAGTTTTGCAAGCAAAATACAAAAGCGAATTAGAACGAAAACGACAACAACAGCCACAGATCATAACCACATGCAATAGTGAAAATGAATTGTTAAGTTTACAAGGCAAAATCATTTCAAGCGAAAGCAGTCCAGCAACAAATGTTATATTCACCCATACCCACGCCCTCACACAAACAACCAATTAGCTGCAATACTTGTTTAATTGTTAGTCAACCAATATTCTCTCTCCAACTCTCATGCCATATTTTCATTGCGAAAAGAAAGTTATGAAAAAACGAAAACTAATATATAACATATAAGTATATAATTAGCAACATAAATCAATTGTGTGTGTAACTGTGTATAATGCATAAATAATGAATTAAACATACTACTACTTTGACGGCAGAGCAAATAACAATGGGAAATTTCGAACATCATCAAAATAGAAAACTATTTTCCCCCTTCCGAAATCCAAACTGAAACTCACACACAAAAACACACACGATGCAAACAAACACGAAAACATGAAAAACAGCCACAGCAGCAACAGGAACTAAAACATTTTTCTGAACACAACTTTTTCTACACTGTAAAAAACGCAACCGCAACTTTTTTGATATGTACAAGTACTATGTTTGTTCTACTTTCGACCCATAGTACGTTTTGTCAAATTTTACATCAAGTTTTTTTGCTACTTTGTAAGCGTTTAGTTTGTTAGTTTTTTAAAATGCGCTGAATGTACTGAGAAATTGGTTTTGATTTGCTAAATAAAACTGGTATAAAACTAATTTAAACAAAAAATCTTGTTTCTTTTTTGTATTACTTTATATGCACTTGTTTTGTTTGCTTTACAGATTAGCTTTCATCAGGGGCTTCAGGTAGGTCTCAAAGGATTTTTGAACGGGCTTTTGGTTCATGGTGCTGCGCTTGGCCGAGTCGAACAGTCTTGGATAAACATTGCCATCGTAGCTTCCCAAAACAGAGTTGAGAACTCGGTCATGGAACTCAAAGCCATCGCAAATGGCCACCGCGTTGGGTCGGAACTTCTCCAACGAAACCTCCAGGCGTTTCTGCAGCGACCTTAAATCTGCATCGGTGAGGTTAATGAACTGGTTGCAAATAAAAGGATAATTAAAAATCAGTTTTATGGGGACATAGAGCAAATCTTACCCTCAAAATATCGTTGAGGTTATTCAGCACAGTCTGGACCAGGAAGAGTTCCAGGACGTTTTCCAAAACCTTGTTGAGGGCCGCGGAACGCTTCTGGGCCTTGGCACCTGTGATCTGCTCTAGGAATGTCTGGCAGACAAACTGTCGACCATGAAGCTGAAAAATAGGTTTACATATTGAAAAATTGGTCAACAAAACCAGCTAAATATACCTAATTCCAGAAATCTACATAGACTTAAAATAAAACTTTTTTTAAATTTGTTATTTTCATAACTAATATCTTTCTATTAAAGATTTATTATGTACACACACATTCACTATCTATTGGAAATGGTATGCGACACACTGGATTTATTTAATTCTACTTACCTCAGCAGCACGAACCAGCTCGATGCCCGTGTTATTTGCCGCCACACCCTGCGATTGACCGCTGGCCATGCGATTCGCTAGATTCTCGAAAGCAATGCGGGTTTTCCTAAAGGGAAATACATTTAACACATGTGCTTGGAAGATGCCTTTTAAAGCCTAACTCACTGTGCTGCCGTGTACTGCAATGCCTTGATGATGCACTGCCATGAGTTGTCCCACTTGGGGAACTCCTTCAGCTGCATGGAGGTGGCAAAGTAGCTGTAGGATGCGGACAACGGTTTCTTTTCTACAAAAGAAGCCCAGGCCTTGACCAGAGCACGTCCAATCTGCAGGAGCAGCACTGTGTTCTCACCTTCGTAGGTGTATGCGGCCACAGCATTTCCATAGATATTGCTCAAATTGGCAGCCGTCAGATAACCATGTCCTCCAGTGGAGAGCCGGAGTTTTTCAATGCCGGCACATCCGTCTGTGGTGCAGAGAACCTTCAGGGCGCAGGACAGGATGTGCATGTCGGGCAGGCGATCAAACTTGCCGTTGTTGGCCTCCTGCACGGTCTGGGCATACATCTCCCACATATGCTCGGCTGCCAGGTGATAGGCCATTCCGTTTGCGATCTCGGGGAATAGCTTCAGGCGCTGGGTCACATGATCAATGATCTGAGGCTCGGGTTGGCTGTAGGTATAAAGGATTTAAGAAAATGCCATAATCATATAATCAACACAGATACTCACTTGGGTTCAATGGGACTCTGTCGACGGACCGCCGAGTACCGGGTGGCAATGGTGGCCGCCTCCAGGAGCAGCGTGGAGTTCAGATTGACAATCAGGCAGCGGGTGTAGACCATGGTCAGGTAGTTAACTCTCGATGCCGGACTGGCCTTGAAGGTGCCATCCCGCTCCACCTTGGCGAACTTCATCAGCATGTTGGTGCGCGGAATGCGGACTTGGTTCAGTCCCAGGAAACCCTGGTTCACGGACACCATACCGAGCTTCTTGCCAATCTCACCAATATCGATTCCTGGCAGTGGCATATGGGTCTCCGCATCTCTCACCGGCACAATAAACATTTGCACACCGTGATGAACATCAGCAATATACAACTGAGCCACCACCATAGCGTGATTGGCAGTATGTCCCACTAATAGATGAAATTTGGAGAAATAAGTTAGGATTATGGAATCACCTATATTGTAACCACTTACAGCCGCCGGGCCACCACTTGTAAGCCTCCAAGTTAGGCGTATGCATCACAAACTCATCAGTTTTGGGATCAAAGTCCGCCCGAGTGGCAATTCCACGGACATTGGTTCCATGGGCCAGTTCCGTCTGCGCATAGGTGCCAATTATGTTGCAATTCTCAGCCGCCTTTCCCCATTTTTCCACCTGTTCGGGGGTACCCTGTCCTTTTATTACATCCACAAACATGGTGATGTGGGTGGCCACCGGATGATTTGCCGGGAAGAGTCCATGGCTATGCACATTGAACAGCACTCCGCTGAAAACACATAGAGATAAGTTTTTAGGGGAATCCTGTTTCACATTTTCTCTGTTTAAACTTACGGCCAGATATCATTGCCTCCAGGGTTAAGCTTGTTTTGAAGTGCCTTCAGCTTAATGGCAGCATCAGCCACCTTTTTCACACTCGAATTGTAGACTTCCTCGTGGGACATGTACTCATGATCGATCCCATAGCCATCCTCCAGATCGCTGAAGATGGCCTTTTCTATTTAAAAAAATGGATGAGAATTATAATGATACAATGCAATTAAATATTGAGTTTTTAAGAATATAGCAAGATTGTCAAGTTACCTAAATAATATGCTATTATCTAATAAAAGAAATCAATAAAGAGTTTTTAAATTAAACCGATGTTCATTAATAAATAAATACAAGTATAACACAAGACAACATTTTAATAGTTTTTATAAAAATCGAACACCAATTGAAAGTTAATCTATTTATAAAAGCTAGATTGGAGCTAACGCTATCACCTGAGGGAGTAGATGAGCCCCTTTGAGCTGATAAGAAATCTAAGCGCGGTGCAATTGCATGTTATCATAAATGCCGCGACTACTACCATTATCTTTCTCAATTGATAAAGCAACAACTTTAATTCAGCAGTATAAAATGTTTAATTATTTTTGGACTTTGCGGCCTTTAGATGAACTCTTTGGACCCTGATTTTCTTGTTGGCCAAAAAGAAGCTTCGAGGGCCAAAACCGGTGCCAATCACGTACACCCCTATGAGTCCCATATGATGTTTATCTTTAATATTTACCAATCTCGCGTTTGGTCTTAAGTTTGTCTTGACCACCTTGCCACCAGGCTGAAAACTCTTCCACGTTGAACTCGGCGCCCGTCCGTTCCTTCTGCAGATCTGGATTTACGGTGTTCGGTATTAAGTTCTTGATGTGCGACATTGTACGAGTGTTGTGCCAAAACAATAACGAAAAATATTACAAACTAAATAAATTTCCAAGACCAGATCCAACCAACAGCTGGGAGATCAACGCGACTACTGAGCGAAAGTGAATGGATCGGCCAGAAGGAAAGCTTTCGAGGGGCAAAGTGCACAAAACAGCTTTTTAAAGGGGGTATTCTGGTGTACAAATAAATAAAGTGGGCTTATATTTGCAAAGTTTAACTACTTAAGAATATGTCCCTAAGAGGGTTTTTAAAAATTCAATTTATTAAACATATGTTTTTGTTTTTTTTTTGTATTCTCGTAATGTTAATAAACGACTTAAAGAAGTAATACTATACATGTTGGTTACCCCATTAAAAGAGAAAGCTGATTCACACAACTAAAATAAGAGTAAACTTTAATGCTTAGCAAAGAGTTCAGTGAAAGAGTGGCATATATTGAGACTATATTATAAAAGAGCAATATTTACATAAATAACAACAAACCATGTTATTAAAGAAGAATATTTACATAAATAATAACAAAACATGTTATGAACACGTAAATCACCAATAGATAAAATTTGATTAGAATAGATATAAAAATGTGATTTGCCCTAGATGTTGGACTTCATGAAGGGTTTAAGGAGTTCATTGAAGGACTTTGGCACCGATTTCTGGTTCATCGGATTTTTGAGGGCCGCATCAAAGATACGCTCATAGGCATTGCCATCGTAAGAGCCCAAAGTCGAGTTCAGTTGAAGATCACTGAAGTCGAAGCCATCCACAATAGCCACAGCGTCGGGTCGCAGTTTAGTAAGCACGGATTCCAAACGTTCCTGCAGCCGCGTGAGATCCGTATCAGTCAATTCAATGAACTGCAAAGGGGAAAATTATATTAAAGTATTAACCCAAACATATATTATTTATAAGTTCTAACTCACCCTGAGTATGTGGCTCATTTGATTAAGAGTCTCCTTGACAAGGTAAAGCTCCAAAAGGTTTTCCAGGACTCGATTAAGCGACGCCGAGCGGGTTTTAGATTTGGGACCAGTTACCTCAGCGGTGAAAGAGGCAAAAACAAAGGCGCGTCCATGGAGCTAAGGTAAAAAAGTAGGTTTTAGAAATCAAGATTTCAAAGTCCAAGCTATTTCAGCAAACAAACCTCGGCTGCCTGGGTTAACTCAATGCCCGTATGATTAGCCGCATTCTCCTCGGTTTCGCCCCTAGACAGACGGTTGGAAAGGCTCTTGAAAGCCAAGCGTGTCTTACTGCAATGGAAATCAAGTCAAAAATGGTTAAAATTTAATAATAATCTAACTCACTTGGCGGCTGCATACTGCATGGCCTTCACCATGTTCTCCCAGCTGCCTGACCATTTGCCGAAGTCCGGATTCTTCTGCACCTCGGCCAGATAGCGAACGGTGGGTGCCAACGGAGCTCCACTCAGCGCCGATCGCCAGGTTTTCATCAAAAAGCGACCGATCTGCAAGAGCAGCACTGTGTTCTCGCCCTCGTAAGTGCAGGCTGCAGTGGCATTGACGTAAATATTGCTCATGTTGGACGAGATGAGGTATCCGTGTCCTCCACATGCCAAACGCAATCTCTCCACGCCAACGGCGGAATCCATTGAGCACGTAACTTTTAAAGCGCAGGACAGGGAATGCAGCTCCGGCAGGCGCTCGTACTTTCCATTTTCTATATCCTTAATGGTCACATCGTACAGGTTCCACAGATAGTCACTGGCCAGCCGGTGGGCCAAGCTGGTGGCAATCTCCGGGAAAAGCTTCATTTGCTGCGTAACGTGATCCATGATCTGGGGCTCGCGTTCCCTGAAAACCCAAGGTTGAGTTGACTTGACTTATATATCGTCTTTGGTATGAACTTACTTGGGATTTATGGGACTTTGGCGACGAACAGCTGAGTATCTAGTGGCAATAGTGGAAGCCACTGCCAACATCATCGCATTATTGTAGGCGATTACACAGCGCGTGCGCACCATGGCAAAGTAGGTCAGCACATTCGTAGGACTACTAACATAGGATCCATCAGCGTTGACCTTGGCATGTCGCATCAGCATGCGAGTCCGTGGAATCCTCACATCCTTCAGGCCCAGAAAGCCATTATTGACCCCAATGAAACCCATCTTCTTGCCAATGTCACCGATGTGGACGCCAGGCAGTGGTTCGTGGGTTTCCTCATCGCGCACCTGTATAAAGAACATATGCGGGCCCTTTGACTTGTTGTCGATATACAGCTGAGCCATCACCAGACAATAGTTGGAACTGTGACCCACTAATAGATGTGGAAAAAGATATGTAATTCGGTAAATAAAATTGAGGTAAAATGTTTGGGCTTAGAATAACACAACAAAAATCTCACTAAGCCAGTAAAAAGGTAAAATAAAACTTACAGCCTCCAGGCCACCACTTGTAGGAGGAAATCTTGGGGGTGTTGAGTACAAATTCATCTGTCTTGGGATCGAAGTCAGCCCGGGTTTCCAGTCCGCGCAGGTAGGTTCCATGGCCCAGTTCCGTTTGGGCATATGTGCCGCAAATCTCGAAGCGTTCCAGCCGCTTACCAAAGTCTTCGTACTGCTCCGGAGTGCATTGAGCCTGAAGAGCTTTCACCAGCATCACATACATTACGCCAAAGGGATTACCACCGGGAACGAGACCCCACATCACTTGGTGGTCGTACAGTTTTCTGGAAAATTACCGTATTTAGCAATAAGAAGTATGCTCGATGGAATAATGAAAAGAAACACCCACGGCCAGTAATCGACTCCGCCAGGATTACGCTCCTCCTGCAGGCGTCTCAGTTTTTTAGCCGCCTCAATGGCTCCCTTAACGGAAAACTCGATGATCTCCTCATGCGACTTGTTCTGCAGTTGCAGCATCTCCAGCACATCCACATCCTTTTGCAGGTAACTACCTATCCGAGAAAAAAAAGCAAAGTCAGCATGACCCTCGAGTTGTTTTTCACTGATTATAGCGATTATTAGTTTTATGGACTTACGAACGCCGCGGTTGAACTTTAGAGTCTCCTCGCCTCCAGCCCACCAGGCCGCGAATTCTTCACTGCTAAGACTCGCTCCATCGCGTTCCTTTTGCAGGTCGGGATTAACGGTAGTGGGGATAACGGATGTGGTCATTATGATGTGATATACGGAAAGACAACTGCGAACTGCGCGCCAAGAGAACTTATTGTTGACTGAGCTCCAAACGGCCGGTGTCACTCAATAAATAAAAGTGAAAACGGTCATCAAACTTTGTAAACTTCGCTCTTTCGTTTCGACGAGTGCTTGAGTGGCTAAGTGGGTTTTTCAGCATTTGTGCAACAGTTATCTTGGTAACCACTGGATCGTAGGTCCATTTTTCATCGTATGTTTACTTCTTTCTGCTTAATCAACGCGATAAGAAGCCTGTATACACAGATTACAAGTTGTTTAGATACCATAACAAATTTTGATGGTTCATTATAACTCAAATTAGTAAACTGATAACAACTTTTAGATCACTTGTGATCGTGCTTAACATGGAACATCGATAGAAACTATTGTTTATGTTTTAAGAACATAAAAATGCCTATTTTCTACTTTTCAATTTTATATGTGAACTTTTTTCACCTTTTTATTTAAATATATTTTAAGTCATTATAAATGTTTAATAGTTAACTGATGTTAATTACAATGACTGTTAAACTTGAAAATACCTATCTGTTAACTAAGACAATGCTTATCGGTTTCATGACTATCGGAAGTCTACCATCTCAATTGGATTGTTTTGGTCCAGGCTGTTACCAGTCTTGGTTTTTGTTGCCAAAAAATGCCCATAAACTTTAATATTGGACTCCTCGGACATGTGGACAGCGGAAAGACCACTTTGGCCAAGGCTTTGAGTTCCATTTCCAGCACAGCATCCTTCGACAAGAATCCCCAGTCGGTGGAGCGAGGAATCACTTTGGATTTGGGCTTCAGCGGACTTTTGGTTGATGCCCGTTCCAGTTTCCCTGAAGGAGAGCAACTCCAGTTCACCTTCGTGGACTGTCCCGGCCATGCAAGTCTAATACGCACTATTATAGGAGGTGCTTAAAAGGATTTGTAATTTTTAATATTTGTTTATTAATCATCTCCAATTGTAGGAGCCCAGATCATTGATCTCATGCTTCTCGTGGTAGACGCCCAAAAGGGCATACAAACACAAACGGCGGAATGCCTTATTATTGGCGAATTGCTACAGAAAAAGTTAATTGTAGTAATCAACAAAATAGATGTTTACCCAGCGGATCAGAGAGTTTTAAAGCTGGAGAAGCTCCGGTCGCGTTTGTCGAAGACTTTGGAAGCCACCAGCTTTGGTGGCCAAGTGCCTATGTACGCAGTGTCTGCTCTTGAAGGAACACACATTCCGGAGTTACGAAACGGATTGATAGAGGCTTTTTTCAAGCCGGACAGAAACGTAACTGACCCACTGTTGATGTACGTTGACCATTGTTTTGGAATAAAAGGTCAGGGAACTGTTTGCACGGGCACCCTGCTCCAGGGAAAAGTTCACGTAAACGATGTGATAGAGTTGCCAGCTCTTGGTGAGCAAAGGAAAGTGAAATCGATGCAGATGTTCCATCAGAACGTGTCTAGTGCCTCAATGGGCGATCGAATCGGCCTTTGTGTGACCCAGTTCAATGCCAAGCTTATGGAACGCGGTGTAATTGCCCAGCCAGGTTACTTGAGACCCATCTACGCCGTGTGCCTGCAGCTCAAACCAATACGCTACTACAGACAGTCAATCAAATCTAAAAGCAAACTACACATATCAGTGGGACATGACACTGTGATGGCTAACGTTACTTTGTTTCGAGACGGGGATAATGCATCACTTGAGTTTCAGCTGGACAAGGAGTATGAGTATGTGGAGGAAGTTCAGCCTGCAGAGGTTAAGTCCACCGAAGTGATCTACGTTTTGTTACAGTTTGAAACCCCTGTACTGATGCCCCCAAATTCAACGCTGATTGCCTCTAAACTGGACATGGATGTCCATAGTAGCAGCTGCAGATTAGCCTTTTGGGGACGCATCGCCTGGCAGACGCAGAGCTCCAACTACATACATGTGGAACTTCCAAAGCTGCGCATCTTTAAGCGGAAACAGAAAGTTGGAAGTATTCAGCGAGTGGTGAATGCCAACGAAGTGATTGTTCAAAATCTGTTCAAAAAAGAGGCCAAACGCGATTTGTACGTGGGGAAGTTAATAGAGCTATCGTCCGGAGAAAAGGGTCGCATTGATCGAACCTTTGGCCAGACCTCCAAAGTGGCAATAATATTTCAGGATGCTCTATTACCCGAAACAATAACCAATGTTAAGAATGTACAGGTTTTACTTAACTGTAAGAAGTATGTATTTAATAAACAGGCGGGCCTGATTCAATGACAAATTTAGCTTAGTTTAATTCAAATATTCCGCAAAAGAGGGCATAGATTTTCTAATTAAGATGTTTTTACATGTTAAATTAATATAAATTAGTGATCTTATATTGATATTTTGAAAGTGACCCATTGTTGATAAAGCCCATGCACAATTTAATTTGTCTTTTCATTTCCTTATGAAATTAAGTAAATACCAAACTCATTTCTGGATAAATTTAAATTAATAAATTTATGAATTAGTTTTGAGATATTGTCTATTGAATCTAATATATATACAAATGAAATTTGTATAGTTTTTATGTGTTATCGTTACTTGTTATTTGAACTTGCTGGCTTTAAACATTTTATAATTAGCTGCCGTTTTAAATTAAATATCATAAATGCTTTTTTAACAGATGTCACGCTACAGAACACTGTTATTTTTGTACTTTAAATTTGCGGTATATTTTTAGTACCACACAGACATAACATTTTTGGTATACTCTTAGTACTCTGCACAGAGCAGAATATCTTCCCACTTTCAGTGCGGTCACACTGCCCTAATCCCAAATGCCAATGAGTCCAAACAACAACAATTTTGGTGCCTGCCGCTTCACTTTGTTGCAACAAACAAAACATCGAATCGGAAACGAAAACGAATAGTCCCCGTGTCGAAGAGCCACCGCCAAAATCCGCACCACCATTCCAGCCAACCGAAGAGGCCAAATCCACCAATGTTTCCAGTGCTGCCTCCGCTGCTGCTCCTCCTCCTCTTCTTTGCCAAGGGAACCCACCAGATCAATGTCGACTGCAACGAGCTGCAGATGATGGGCCAGTTCATGTGTCCGGATCCCGGGAGACGTCAGATCGATCCGCGGACGCAGCAGCTGGCCGGATGCACCAAAGAGGGGCGCGCCCGCGTCTGGTGCATCGCCGCCAACGAGATCAATTGCACGGAGACGGGCAATGCCACCTTCAGTCGGGAAATACCCTGCAAGTGGACGTGGGTATAGCTGGGCTTTCTAAAATAACCAATCTCCTAAAAAAAACTTGTTCCTTGCAGAAACGGCTATCATCTGGACACCACGCTGCTGCTCTCCGTCTTTCTGGGCATGTTCGGCGTGGATAGATTCTACCTGGGCTACCCGGGCATCGGCCTCCTCAAGTTCTGCACCCTCGGCGGCATGTTCCTGGGCCAGCTGATCGACATAGTGCTAATTGCCCTGCAGGTTGTTGGTCCGGCGGATGGCTCCGCCTACGTGATACCCTACTACGGAGCCGGCATCCACATCGTCCGCAGCGATAATATGACCTATCGGCTGCCCAGGGACGACTGGTGATGGTTAAGGCGGCACAGCGCCTGGTGTACAGTAGATCACGTTAAGTCCTTGTTATACCTTAAGTACGGCTTATGACACTAACGATAAGCAACGACTGCGGAACTCCGATTCGGATCGAGACTCTGATTAGTGCATTACGTACCCTAGTTGATAAGTGTAAAGATTGTTGCCACCCTCATTTGCGTAGCCTAAGTTGCATTGTTTAGTCTTAGTTACCACTGTACATGGTCCCTCATACAACTCTACAACTGTGTAATTGTATAGGCCGCATAGACAAATTGTTTGCCAATATAACTAACGATTTTAATCAGTCTGCCGTGATTTCCTTTCATATCCACAGCGGGATTGGCTCTGCCAGTCGGCAGTCGAACAATCGCACTTCTTGGCAATATAATTGGCCCACTTGTACTTTGATCTCGCTAACATTTTCGGCGTGACAGAGATTGGTCAACAAAAGAACAGAAAAACGACAACGCCTGCGACATCCCGCCTTGTTGACGTTGTTGACTCACCGGCGAAACGCTCAGACGCCAGAGCAAATCGACGGAGAACGCACAAACCGGGCAATCCGGCGGGGAGACGAAAGGAGGATCGTTTCGGAAAACATTTGCTCTGCTGGCCCTTTCATCTGATTGGCATTTCCGAAATTATCAGAGGCGACGCATCAGCCGGCGAGTTGTTCGAATTTAATTGCATGGCCGGGGTCGCCTGTAATTCGATGCGTTTTAATTAGGCTCTCAATTAAGATCAAGTTGAGTTTTATCTTGAAATGGGTGAGTGTTGCGAATAGCATGCAAATGTAATGATTGGCCGGTAAGGTTCCATGTCATGCCATGCGGGTTTTTAAAATCATTTATTGTAAGTCAAAAGAAAATCTAAATTTGTTTAAAAATTGTATAGCAGGTGCAATACATAGGGTATGTTTTAGAAAAAATAAAACAGAAGAACTTTGAGATCATGGGTAATAAGTGAGTTATATAGTTAACGTAAAAAATATTCCTGGATACGTTTTTAAGTTACTATTGTCAATAGGCTTTAAAAATTTAGTTTCCTAAAAGTATTTTCGTATTTAAGCCGGTTCATTAATTCTTGAATATCTTTTTGAAATCAAGCAAGAAAATAATGATTTTTAAATACTCAAAAACACTGCTTCCAACAATATAAGGGCTGAACAACATTTTACCAAAACAATATTTAACGAAATTTTTACAGATCTATTGGTGCTATTATCACTATATTTAAAAATTGGATTCGTATATATTATTTATAATATTTGAGAACATAATTTAAAAGCATATGAAAATAATTATTTAGGTAGGGTATTTCTGATACATTAAAATTACTACATGGGTGTTTCAATGGAAATATTTGCGATAGTGCTACCCAGCGCCTCTTCAACTTCTTACCAAACAGTTTTAGAGCCACTCAATGTGCATAAAACTGTGTAGAAATGCGGTATTGTTGAGCGTTGGCCCAGACAAGTAATACTATACAATTGCCACGCCCACATCCCATCCCCCCTTGAATTGGCAATGCACTGACCCCAGCCACGCCCACCGCCCACTTTATTGTTATGTAGACAAGTGGACATGTCGAGAAGAGCTTTTCAATTAGCCCGGCCAGAAGTTGACAATGTGTTGTTGATATGTCGTAGTGGATCCGTCCACTGGATACACCTAATTACAGAGTGAGAGTCGTGCCGCCTGTGTAAACATCAAGGGGGGAGGGGTTGAAAAGGCGGTAAAGAGGGGCAGCACACGGACAAAAAATAAGATCACCATGAACTTGATGATATTTATTTAATGATGCATATAATATGAAGTGTATTTAATAAAACCTTTTCTAGATTATTAAAATATAAACAGAAGATCTATTCATTATAGAAAGTTCATATTTAATTATTTAAAAAAAGTAGTACAATTTTCTTTCACAATATCTAATGTTTTGGTTAAACGTATCCTTTAAACAGGATATTTAAACGGAGTTCAACAATTCAAAGAATTACAAAAATGAATTTTTTACAATGTCTGAGAAATATTTTTGTTAGGATTTTTTATTTTGTTATTTTTATTGATTGATTTGAGTTTTTCATTTTCATTTATTTTACTATATTAAAGTGATTTTGTTCGATTTAGTGTTCAAACTATAAATAATATACATTATAAATAAATATACATTATAAATATACATTATTTTACGAATTTTTTCTGTGCAGCACTTGATCTTTGTCCGCAGACATCCCCCTGCTTTTTGCTCCTTGATGCCATTCTTCGAATCTTTGGACACGATATATGTACATATCGCTTACTGTTTCGTTTTCTTGAGGCAAATGAACTCTGCGCCATTAGGGAAATTTGAGCAGCTTGTTTGTAAGCTGGCTGTTTGTTTTTGTTGTGCGCGTGGTAACCTTATGGAAAATGCCCAGAGTCCCGACATCGCCCAGATCTCCCAGAGATTGTTGACTCTCTGACTGGCCGCAAACTATTTCACAACTCCGGCCAAGCTGGGGTTATTTAAATTGGGATTATCCTCACCTGACTCGCCTCCAGAAATAGCCACCAAAATAGCGACCGAGTCACATATTGGCCAATTGCAAATATTTGCCAGTATCAAAATAGCATCGGCTCCGTATCGTTTATATAGCATATAGACTGTGGATAATCGGGCAAAATGGGGTGGGGCTGGAGTGGAGACGCTCGACGGGTTTCTTATTTGCTTAGTGCTTAGAAGCTCAACGCTTAATTACGCTCAAGTGGCGTGGAAAATTGTGGGGCGGGATTCTCAGATTTCCACCACCGCCCACTCGACCCGATGACGTTTATGCCAAATTGCTTTGCACTTTGTTTACAAGAGAGGAGAACCTATGCAAATAGCAAACGGCATTTAATGAAACGCAATTATTTAATTTTACAGACTGCGTCACGGTTCCCACCTGGCTGCATATTGCACCGTTCGCCTCATAAATAATGACTGGGCAACCTCCAGTGACAAAATCCACGGCCTGGGAAACCGCACTCAGCCAAAGCTGGGCTCAAAACCGAAACCAAACCATAATCCAAGCCGAGTTTCGTTCGTGATAACTGCAATTTTCCAGCCACAACTACAGATACAATGAGTGCATAAATCATCTCCAGCTCAGCTGCAACTCCGTGGCATTTTCCTAGCGTGCCGCTGCAGCTTTTCCAAAAAACCACCGCATAAATGTCAAATGCCTGGCAGTTTGATTTGGCCGCGGGTTAAGTGTGAATTATCCCAGGGCCTCGGATCTCTCAGCACCATTTGTATGCTGTCTCATCTGCAGAATGCATTTAAGAGCTTTAAGTGCTATTATCGCATCCGAGACAAATGCCATAAGACACATTTCGGATTGCAAATGCAAGTTGCAGTCACGGCAGCATTAGGGATTGAAATGAATGGATTCATTCATTGTGGGAAAGAAATTGCTTCCGATTTTTGGTAAAATTACAAAACAAAAAATTTTCGCCCCATAATATAATTTTTAGAGTTCTTCAGAAATTTATCGATCCTTTCATTTCATGTGATGGATCGATTAATTGATGATAAACCGACATATAATTTATGAGTATTCGAGAATTTATAAATAATTAAAAGAATATAAAAAACTAGCCTATTCTCAAAATCCATACTTCGTTCCTTAGAAGTACTCATAAATAAGATTATTTCACAAGAACTACACCTGACACCTGACAATTCGTATAACTGGACATGTGATTATTATCAAAACAGATAGGTCTTGCATATAATCCTACTTGAAAGTTTTATATAAATCTTATT